GGGGGGGGGGGGTTAACAATCTTCGAGTAACAAACAACCCCAAGGGAAAAAGGAGCGGACACTGGGAGAAAAAGGAGCGGACAAGTATGGACCCCTAAGGTGGAGGAAACTACAAAAGCTTACATAGTGGAGTCCAGATCGAAGACAATAACCTTCGGAAATCGCGTCAGCATGATCCTGAAGATATACCAATTAGAAAAATGCCCGCCATGAAGGGATTACACCTCGACACAATCCCTTCGGTATCAACACAATCCCTTCGGTATCAACACAATCCCTTCGGTATCAACACAATCCCTTCGGTATATAGCTCCTTTGACGTTCTGCTTTAAGTCAAAAGCAGTTTAGATACGCTTCTTCTTCCCCCTCGGAATCAGCAACTGCATAATCACGGATCCAGGGCGTCTGGTCGGGGTGCATTTCTTTAGGTCGCCCTAAGTACTTAGGTCGCCCTAAGTACCCTGATTGTTGCAGATCTACCGCATGTCCTGACTGGGCTTGCGATTGGATTGTCTGGTGCCTCTTCTGTTGCGCGTGCTCGGCCAGATATTTGGTCGATATGTCAATGATTTTCGCAAACATAAAGTTTCTCGAATCCAGATTGTGATATAGTGCGTGGTTCGCCCCAGGCACCATCTGGCAAGAATATTCACATGAGTTCCAGGCATCTATGGACTGCATGTAGGCGACGTCCATATTTTTGTCTTGTTCCCCAACGAAACCGTGCACCTGCAGTTCCGCACTGAGTCTCGGGCGCGTGAGAATGTCATAGGCCTCCGGAAATTTTTCCAGAACCACCAAGTCGGTTCGACACATGCCCTTGATCATTCTCCAAACCTCGGGTCTGGCAGCCTCCGATCGCATGCCCCAACGCTGCACGAGGTCGGTTCGCATCTCTTCGTCGGAGAGCTCTGACACATTACGCCACGGACGGTTGCGTTTGTCTACGGGATCTCCTGAAGCCGAGACGATTACAAAAGCTGGTCTACAAGCCGCGCGCTGAGACAACAAGCGCAGCAATTCGAAAGCCAAAGAACCTCCCATGCTATGACACACGATTCCGACCGGTACGATTTCCGTCGCACACGTGTGTGCTGCGCGTATGCGCCGCCCCAACCCGGCGTCAATCGTCTCGGAAACGGTTTCCAAGCTGCTTGCCTCGTCCCTTCTTGGTTCATCTCGCACCTTGTATTGAGAATCCTCCCCGTCCTCAGTCGCCTGGTCAATCTCCGCATGGTGGCTTCTTTGTCTGGAGAAGACTTTATCGGGAAAGACTCCAGCGAGCACCAATGCCTGGAATATCTCTTCCGCCTCGTCGTGAAGGCTCAGGAGAGGTTCATTTCGACGATGGCCTCTCCCTTTCAAGTTGGGACAAATCAGGTTAACATTCTTCTGTTGGCAAAAGTCGACTAGCGCATTGCCGACGTTTCGATGGTCCAGAAGCCGAGAAGTATACATCGTGTTATCGCAGCCAGCGCAGTGGAGACAGAGCAACGTGAATTCAGGTTTAGAAGGTCGAGCAGCCAGCTGCCGACCGCATATCTTGTCAAGGGAGGAAAAATCGTTGACCATCAAAAAGGCATATATCTGCACTGTCAATAAAACGACAGTCGCACACCAGAAAGCGCCAGGGAGGCCCAGCAATATTTTTACGCCAAGGGTGTCGGGGGCTGGTTGGTTGGTCACTCCGGTAAACCACAGGGTGCGGGTGGTTGATCAACCACAGGGTGCGGGTGGTTGGTCATTTCAGTCAAGCGGAGGTATGATGGTTAGGGGTCGGGTCGTCTGGGGAAAGGAGCGTCCTGGAGGGAGGGAGTGGTCTCTAGTTGGTCGTTGATCCGGACGTTTTCGCCGTCCGTAAGTTGGGCGGAGCTGGCTTCGAGTGGTGAAGTGTCGCCAGCTGGTTCGGGGAAGTCTGTTGGGGTGAAGTTGGAAGTTACATGTACGATGGAGTGGTCTTCCACTGGTCCGGTTTGGTTTGGTCTCTTGGATAGGATAAGGGTGACCTCTGGTATTTGGTCAAAATAGGCCCAGACATCATCGGCAGAAATGGACTTCGTATTAAGGGTTTCGGCATGTTTATAGAAACGACTAATGACGGTAATCACTTTGTCGGCAATTTGACCGACAATAGAGCCAGAGTCAAGGTCGTCCAAGAACAAACCTTCTTCCTCTTCGTCACTGGGAACCAGGTCCGTACGATAGGCCGCAAAACCCCATGCTTGATGTAGGTGCACAAGATTCTCCTTGTCCAAAAAGAAACAGGGTACCGACTCAGGCGGGAACTCATCGCGACCCTCATAATTTAGTAAATACACCACCTTATCCTCATTCTGACGAACCAACTCCGCCATCCGATCGACGTACGCCCCTCGCGAGAAACTCGCCCTCATCGACTCAAAGACCTCAGCCGCCTTGTACAATCGCTCCTCTCCTTCCGCACCCTCTTCCGAACACATTGTGCGCACTACGGTCTCTGTGCACACACTTGTGTCTGAGCACACACGTGTGCAAACACTGGAGCTCTCCTCCTCCGCGTGTATTCGTAAGACCGCCGGTTCCCGGGACCCATCCACACCGGCAGCTACCTCGGAGACAGTGCTACCGCCCTCTTGCTCTCCCTCCACCTCTTGCCCCGCCTCCGGCCCCTCCTTCACCTCTTGCCCCGCCTCCGGCCCGTCCTTAACATCTTGTTCTTCTTCACCCGCCTCGTCCTCCGCTTTTCGCCCGCTGTCTTCCTCCTGTGCAGAAACTTCTTTCCGCGAAGAGGCCCCGTCTTTTCGCACCGGCCGCAGGATGCCGTCTTCCGTACCACCCGGAGCATAAGAGCCCGGACCGCGGTACAGGCACACTTTCGCCGGCCACCATACCACCTTGCTCTCCAGCACTATAGGCTCTTCCGTATTCTCCTCCTCCAACAGGTCGTCATATTCATACCGCACATAAACCTTCGAACCGACCTCCACCCCGACACGCCGCAAGTCCCGGTGCCGGTCTTTCTCCAAGTCCTCTCTCAACACCTGCCGTTTCTTCCGGCTGCTCTCCAGCATCTCCGCTATCCTCGTACGCTTTCGCACTCCGCCCGCCGGACTTAGCGCTGGGCTCAACATATTCTCCGTTGCACTTATCACCTACGGACGCACCCGTTGTTAGTGCCCCTCACACCCACTGTCCGTCCACCCACCGCCCAACCCTGTCCACATCCACGCACGCAGTCTTGGCACATAGTCCCGCCACACGCGTGTGCACACGCGTGTGCACACGCTTATTCCCGTCAACCGGACGCCCGTGAGCTCGAGCCGACATCCGGGCGTAAAATGATGATACTGAGTGACACACCGCCGTGTGCTGCAGCTTGTTGCTGTGTGCTCCAATCGCGTCCTCGCCACAATGAAGCAAATCTTGTGTCCTTACCTTTTCCTCCGCCATGTGGGCCTGTCAGCCGATGTAACAATTAATGCGGCAAATTATTTACCGGCACGCGGAGGAGACCAACTTTACGAACCACCCGGTCTTGGAAGCACACAACTACGCTTTTTCATGCACCCGTTCGAAAATGGCCCGACGTCGGTCATTCTGCATCCCGCCTGACCATTCCGCCTGACAATCTTGCCAGACTACACCACGACCAGTTCTGTCGTGTCGGACGGGGGTCTGTAGCGAGCCGATAAGCGACAACCACCATCAAGACCCAACGTCAGCGACCACCACCAAAGTCCTGCGTGGCCCCAGTTTTACCGTGTCCCTCTTGGGCCGTTCCGTCAACCACAAGGACCGAAGCCAACCCAACTTTACTCCCTTCACTGCATCTCTCCCTTAGTCAACGCCTTTAAACGAATCTCCCCACACTGCCAGCAATAGCTGTTCTTTGTTTGTCCCTTGTGGTGTGGCCAGCACGGGGGCGGGAGTGGGTTTGTTGAGTAGACAGAAAAGTTTGTTGTTGAGTAGACAGAAAAGTCCGCTGCGGAATTTAAAATGAAAGTCAAGAAGGCCGACCCTTCCAGCTTCACGGCGTACAATGGGATCAAGCTCGGCGTCGGACGACAGTGTATCGACGGCGGCCCCTTGGAGATATCGAAACTCGGGGAGGAGGCGAAGAAGAAAATGCTTGAAAGGTACGGTCCAAACGGACGCGCGCGGAAACGGACGCGCGGGCACAAATAGTCGCGGCGAGTGGGTGGTAGAGAAAGCAGGTGGGCAGCGGCTTTGCAGCAGTCAGGTGCACTGGGTCCATCGCCACTCGATGGTGGCCACACTATGGCAATAAGTCCATCACACGCACTCCATGAGTCCTGCCTGTAGTATAAAGGTGTCGACTGTGTCAGCGGGGAAGCTAGACATCGGCGCCAAGCCGAAGATAGATCTGAAGCAAATGTCACCCAAGCGAAGGAAGCAACGCGAACTGGCAGCGCAGAAGCGCGCGAAGGTTGCGGAGAAACGGAAGGCCATTAAACAGAACAAGCGGAAGCTCAAAGAAGGTCGCAAAATCACACGACGGAAAAGTCAGCAACGCCGAACCGTCTAAGGCGCTACGCACATTCCCACAGTCCCGATGGGCACGGTCCCGACGTGGGCATGCCCGGGACTAGGCAGGATCCGGTCGCCGTCTTCTCGCACGACGTCGCCGTTACTGACTGGTAGAGGACAGCTCTTCCAGGGCTAGACTTCGTCGTGGCTAAGGCGGGACCGGTCTAGCCAAACTACGTAGCCGGAAGGTGGCTACGTGTCTAGCATCCTCCGGTTGCTGAGTTTGCTTCCATTGCTCGTACCAAAATTATTCTGAGTGGCGGTCGTTCCGCCTCCTTTGAGCCTGAGTCCGAGTTCCGTGGCGGCTTCGAGTATGTCAAAGAGGCGGGCAGTTTCCGTTCTGGCGAGTGCCTCGGTGGCACAGACGTCATGACTGCTGTTGTAGAGGTGCATACCGACCTCGGGTGCTCCGTCCGCGCTTTGGTGGATAATTGCCGTAGTGAAGCCGTCCGTGGTTAGGCGAACCCTTTTGCTGAATGAAGGGTGCGGGATGGGTACGAGGGGTACTCCCATTCCCTTGCCACCGACGATGAAGGCGGGTGATAGAGTAGAGGATAGCGGCGGTTGTACACGGAGAGGTGGTTGTACACGGACAGGTGTTTTGTTTTGAGGAGTGCCTCGAGTCCCTAAGTCTGCTGCACTGGTCAGCTCGCCAACCCCTAGCGCCACTCCTAGGGTCGTCGTAACACAGCCACCGGTCAGTGCTGCAGCACCAGCAGCACCAGTCAGTGTTGTGCCGGGGTTTGCTTCGTTGTCGGGGTTTGCTTCGTTGTCGGGGTTTGCTTCGTTGTCTTCTAGTGGTTGTTGAGAGGAAGCAACAATGCAAAAGTTTTTAGGATGAATGTATGGGCTCGGATTATCTGAGTCATTTTTCCCGATCGTTTTCTTGAGATAAGTCCAGTAAGGTGAGACGTAAGTGGGATCGATAAGTTCCTTATTCATCTGATCGAAAATACAAGCATTTAGCTCCCCTATAGTGATTTTCAGCTTGTCTCGACAAATGACCTTCTCCAATAGACTCTCAACTTTAACTAAGTCCTCCTTCAACTGTACCAATTTCTGCTCGTTCTTCTTCGGCCTATTCCGCACGCTAAGTCGGGTTCGACCACCTTGAAGGTTACCACCAACCTGGAACACACAATAAGCTTGCGGTCGGTTAGCTATCACCCCCCAATACCGTCTGCAGAAAGCGCGACCCAGTATCTTCCTTCGACTCACCCAGTAGTCATATATAAGCCGGAAATCTGCCATCAATCGGCCTACTAACAATCCACTCATAGATGAAGAAAAGTCAGTAGAACTCAATGGATCACACACCATGACCGAAACAATATCCAACGCCTGCTCTCCACTAATAATCGGTCCATACCCAGTTGAACACTCCCATCGATATATAGCACGAATGAACAACTCCTCCAACTCAATCGGAGTCATACCCAGCTTCCCAGCGCTCATCTCCGATTCCAAGAATTCCAAATCCTCCTTAGTTATGTCATATTCCACCTTCTCACCATTCGACAGAACTACGGGACTTATACTACAACATTGTGGTGAAAGTTTCTCGTCCCGATGTACAACACCTTGTCCCGACAATCCCACACCTTGTACCACAACCCTCCCATAACCTAATCTCCACCTTACTAATCTCTATAAATGCCAGTCTTTATGTAATAATCAGGTATCTTAAATGGCTTTAATGGTCTGTAATCCGGGTTCAAGCTGCAGCCTGGAGTCACAATAGTTTTCTTAGCCGTTCTTGATTTTGGTTGTCTCAGAATTTTCTTCACCTTCTGTCGATGGTCATTGGCGAAGGAGTTGAGCCATTCCAGGGATTGCGCTTGTTCTCCTGGATTTAATCCTGCCTGGACTTACGGTATTTTGGAGTGTGTGCGTGTTCGATTTTGACGGTTCCAACTTGGGCTTGGTTTTGGACCGACTTAGTGATGACAAGTGACAAGTCTTTGGTTTTGGGCCAAAGGGTAGTTTCATGGGTAGTTTCATGGGTTTCATGGGTATTTTACGATGACGAAATCCTTATAATCATCCGCCGATTTGACCACAGGGATGTTGAGGGTCACATCGAGGCTTTGGTCCTCGGATGGCGGGCTGCTGTTCTGGGTTGCGGCTTTCTTCTTTTGCGGGGACATGTAAAAACTGGTTGACACCTTTTTTTCGGCCAAATGGGTTGCTGCTTTAGCTTGCCTCCGAACCGGCGCCCAGCACAAATGTACATAGGCCCAGACGGGCGGCCGCGCTACGGAGCGTTTGCGCGTCCGGCACTGGGTGGGGGCATGATGACGGGCCCCGGCATGATGGGCGGCCCCGGCATGATGGGCGGCGGGATGATGGGCTACGGCGGTGGCTACGGCGGCGGCGGTGGTGGCGGCGGGGTTGGCAAGTTCCTAGCCGGCCTGGCCGGCGGCACGCTGCTTGGCAACGTGATGGGTTCTCACGGCGGCATGCACATGCCCCATCTCGGCCCTGGCGGTGGTCCGGCCGATGGTGGCGCCGCCGGGCCCTGGCCCGACGTGGACATGCCCGAGGTCTCCGACCCGATGAACGCCTTTGACGACGGCAATGGTCCCGCGGGAGGCGGCGCAGGAGGCAGCGTCTTGGACATGTTCGGTGGAGGAGGAGGGGGGGGCGGTTTCCTCGGAGGCGGAGGCGGCGGAGGAGGCCTCCTAGATATGTTCGGCGGCGGAGGAGGAGGAGGAGGAGGAGGAGGGAACTTGCTTTCGGGTGCCATGGGGGGAGGAGGTGGCGCTCTCGGTGGCCTTTTGTGAAAAACGATCATGACTACTGCAGTCACGCACCCCTTACCCGACAACTCGAATGGCCCAATGCCTTTTTCATTCGGTCAAAGACCAACTGATCAACAACTTGCCAGTCATAGTACCCGACACCGACTCACTTAACTTACCCTGACCGACTCACTTAACGTGCCCTTAGCCCTCACTCACTCAAATAACACCCCGACTCTTAAGTGCAGTAATTGTGGCGTTCCCGTAGTGCGTAGGAATGCCGCGACTCCGAGCTATCCCTTGACAGCGCGGACCTCCGTCGTGCCGGTCATTGGAGCTTCTGCCCGCCGTTCGGATGTCTATATACAAGCCCCCGCCTTTCCGGTCTCGCATCCCTCCCCGTCCAATCCCACCGAGACGCAGTCTAGCCTGCCGCAACTAGCCGTTCCCGTTTCGCCATTTCGGGGTACGACCCATCGAAGTGTGAGTCACTCAGAGCAAACATCAAACACGGCTCAGCCCAGTCAGCCTAGCCGGGGGCTCTCGATGCAGCCACTACATATGCAGCCGCCGCTGACACAGGGGCATGAGATGCCTGAGGAGCACCCGCAAGGACAGCCTTCGCAAGGATACTCTATACAGAAGCAATCAAGGCAGTCCATGCAGCAGTCCATGCAGCAGTCCATGCAGCAGTCCATGCAGCAGTCCGTGCAGCAAGTATACGAAGTAAATGAGCCCCAGGGTCAAGAGCATCTGGTACCCGAGGCATACCGGACACAGCGTTCGTGCGAGCACCGCGGGAAGAAAGTGAAGCGGAGAGCGAGTAAAGAAAAAGCGGAGGGCGAAGGGTTCCTTTGCGGTCGTTCGTCATCCCCGGTACGTCTTGTGGACTGCATGGCTGATGTGTGGACGACTTTGAGAAACCGTTGCGCCAATTTGGGGACGGGGAACAAGATGTCCAATTTGGACAGTGTGAGTGATGATGGAAATGAGCAGGCAGTTTTCGGGCACGCGGGTCAAAGAGCCTCCGGGACGGCTCAGGTACATCCGCGGTGTGTCCAGCACAGTGGCGCTGGATATGGAACGCAGTCTGGCGAGCAATATGACTACTACGGCGCACATGACGGTGCCCTTGACGACATTTATTTGGCGAATTTACCTACCCCCGTGAACGACTGTTCGAGACAACAATTGCAGCCACTCTGCGCTGTGGACGCCTTCTACGGTCTTAGTCTCCGCGCTCGAGGACAAGCCTCACCCGTCGCACGTCACCTGGAATCAAAAATCCCGCAAATGAATAAAGCCGAGAAGGCACGCGTCGACCAACTCGAAAGCAGTGGCGGAGTCAGTGTCTGCAGCGCCGAACTGGCCAGCAAACAATTCATTGATATCTACCTCCACAAACGGAGGAAGGAACAAACTAGAGGCTCCAGTTGCCTCAACTTCTACTAAATTTATCAAGCTTGCGGTTCGAATCGCGCTTCCGGATTTTTCATTTTTGACGCCTGTTTCATCGGGACACGCTGCATGACCGGGACACGCTGCATGGCCGGGGCGCGCTGCCAGGCCGTTGGTGGCTGTTGGTCGTGCGCAGCTGCTTGACACAGGCGCGTGTTTCTCGGCGCACACGTGCGTGTTTCTCGGCGCACACTTTTGGTTCACAGTTGCCTGTACTACCCCCGAAGAGGTGTGTAGTCGTTGATGCCGAGCGACCGCGTGATGAAGGTGGGCTGCAGATCATCGGGGCCTTCGCCCGAGCGGAAGCGGGAACCGCTGTCTTCGCCGCTGCTAGTAGCTTCGTATAGGATGTGGCCGGTGGGCGGGTCGCTGAGGTGTTCGGCGGTGAGGTGTTCGGCGGTGAGATCCTCGGGTCTCGCGTAAGGCGGCGGTTCGCCGTAGAGCACGGTGTGAGGGTCCACGGCGTGCGAATCTTCTATGCTGCCAAAGCTCGTGCGACTGGTCGTCAAGTGTGTCACTCGCGGCGACCGGCCGGTATCCGAACCGGACTGCCGTGGTAGGGACTGTCGTGATAGGGACTGCCGCGAAGGAGCGCGACCGACCGGCGATTCACGACCAGAAGTGCGACCGACCGGCGATTCACGACCAGAAGTCCGGACTACGTCGTTATTGCGGGTTTCATTACGAACGAGGCCGACCATTTCGAGAGCACTGGGAGGAGTAGTGCTGTGTGAGAGTTCGGTGGCGCCGGTTGGTGGTGGTGGTCTATGTCCGGGATGAGCGATTTGGGCGGGGCTCCAGCTGTCGGACCTCTGTGGGGATGTCTGTCCGGGGATGTGTTCTGGGGGTGTGTGTTCAGGGAGTGTTGGTACGGGGACACGTCCTGGGGAGGATATGCGTCCCGGGGAAGAGGATTGTCTCGGAGGCACTTCATCTTGGTCGGTGTCGTGGTCGAAGAGTAGCGGTGTGATGGAGCTGAGGCTGCGTTTCAGGATGCATTGGTAGCGCCGATTGGGGGGCAGCTTCTGGTTGAAGAAGACGAAGCCGAGTAGGTTGACTGCCGCGATCCCGAGCGCCGTGAGATTGCCGGGGAATGGGTCAGAGCTGAGCTGGTAGCCTGTTCTGTTCCAGGGCAGCCAGCGTGCGGTGTCCCACCAGGCGACGGAAGTGAGACCGAAGAGAACCAGACAGATGGTGGTTTGCTGGCCGAAAAGCGCGTACAGGACCTGCACCTCAGCGCGCGAAATGTGTCTGCTATCAAGTTCGCCGGGACGCAGCATCGGCTGTCCGCTCGAATCTTTAACGCTGATGTCAATTGAGTCTCTCAGTCCGAACGGCCCGGGGGAAACGGCCGTCACGGAGAACGACTGACCCGAACGCGCGTCATAAAACACATCCCGCGTGTAGCCATTGCCATTGTACGTCAACACGAGTCCCAAGACCGCAACCATCAACGTCAAACTGCTCAGCACAAACTGCCAGAACGCCCGGCATTCCAGACTGATTAAGGGCTGCAACAACGTCACTAGAGTCGACACACTCCACAATAGAGACAACAACGTCACAATCGAAAAGTACACCACCGATACCTCCAAATTCATCTCAATAGCCACCTCCCCATCCCCCCGCAGGGCATCCTCCAAACTGGGCTTGTTCGTCACATACTGCGAAGGAAAATATTCCTCCCCTGCCTGCATTCAAGACCGTGCACCTGCATGCCTGTCTTAACCGAAAAGATGACATAAATTGTGTTGTGCTCATTACGCTTATTGATCAAGTACCTACCCTGCCTTAGTCAAGTGCCCTGCCTTAGTCAAGTGCCCTGCCTTAGTCAAGTGCCCTGCCTTAGTCAAGCATCCTCTACCTGAACTGGGTGTGAAAATTAGGTCAGTTAGTTCGCTTAAAATTCAGTGTCTACGGGATTGCCATTCTGGTCGACGAGTACGCCTTCCTTGTTGTAGTAGGCCCCATCCGTGAGTCCGTTCTCCGCTTCTTGGACTTCCGCGCGGTTGTTTCTGCGGCGATAGAGTCCGTAGCCGCCGAGGCCGACAAGTGCAGCGAGTCCGGCGGAAGCGCCGGCGACCACGCCACCCTTCTTGTACCAAGAGGTCTTCGGCGCATCGCCCGCGCTGGAGGTGGTGTGGAACTCACACTTGGTCATGTCCACCTTCTCAATCACGCACGCAAACACCGCGTTGTTGTCAGCCAACTGTTCACGCTTACAAGCACTCAACATCGTCTGACACTCAGCCTCGCACGCCGCCTGCGTATACTTCCCACGTGGCACTACCCCCGTACACGGCCAATTCGGATTCGAACTAGCTCCCGCAGCCACTGCCACCAACGCCGTCAGAACACGCAGAACTCCAGTCATACTCACACACCCCACACAACACACGCATGCACCGATCTCTCTGTGTCCGAACATGTGTGTTTAAACAGTGGCTGCACACGTGTGTGTGCGCCTGAAGCAGAGCGCGTGACGTCATCTTAGTATCGTTTTTTCTATCGGGCATCTCGTAAACCCTCGATGCCGCCTGAGCGGCGTCTGTGTTCCTTCCGGGTGCTATCTTCGCTCGGTCTTCCGTGCTGACTTAGTCGTTCCTCGCGGCCGGCCTCTGAGCTGGTGGAGCGTCTGCCGATGTCTGGGCGTCTCTCTTCGGGGCTAGCACCTGCGTGGTGGTGCTGGTCTTCGTGTGGGTGGTCTCCATGGGAGTGGTCCCCATGTGTGTGCTCACCACGTGTGTGCTCTCCAACCAGCCCTTTCAAGATCGCGCGCGGCACCATCGTGGTGAGTCCGCGCGTCTTTCTGCGTTCGCCGGGCCGAGAGGCAGCGGCGGCTGAACGTCGTCTGGCCGCTTCTGCCGACTCGCTGCCCACCTTATCGAGTGTGGCCTTGTCAAGCGAATCAGAGGCACGGGTCGAATGTCTCGCCAGCGTCTGTTGGCGTTGACTCGAGCGGCGCACGACCGTCTGACGACGGTGGTCGGTGCGTGCTGCGGCCGTCTTGACTCTCGGTTTCGCGTCCGCCTCGCTAGACTCAGAGCTGAGCATGTTCGGACTTTTGCTTGCTGCCCAAGTCTGGTGGCGTCGGCGTCCTTGCGGGTCCCGACCACGCTCGTGGTCGTGGTCCTGCGGGTCTTTCTCGCGTTCGGGCGGAGACTCTTCCCGGAAGTCCAGTGCCACCCGGCGTCCCGCCAGATGTCCCATTGTTTGTGACCGTGCTGTCTTCCGGTCGCCCGTCTCGCCGCGTTCCTTCGCACTGCGCAAATCCGGTTCCTTCGCACTCCCGTCAAACGACTCGTCGCTCGAACCCAACAGCGATGCCAACTCGATGAAACGCTGCTTTTGCTTCGCCGCCTGCACGTGTTCTAACGCCCGTGACCTCTCGTCCTCGTAACTCGGCTCCTCCGCCTCAGTTCCCAACCGTCGGGGCGATACATGGCTGCAATCATTTCTCGTTTCTCAAACCCTGCTAGCCGGCCATAGACACACACACTAGCCACACACACACGGACACTTACAGTGAGTCATGGTCGTAGTCACGCGGGGTCTCCCGTACGTGGCTTCGATGGAGAAGTTTGCTGAGCAACTTAGGCTCTCCTAGAGCAGTCACTACAAGGCGGATCGAAAAAATATTAGAACCCCTTACGTGCTGGTCTGCTACGGGCCACTCCGGGCGACTTGTCCGACTGGGCCCTGTGCAGCCATGACTGCGCACTGCCGCGTTCGTCGCTGCCACTTTGATGACCGTTTGCGTACCCCTCAAACCCCGGACCTGCAGAGCCACGGCTTTGGTATCTTTCAGTCCCACGACTGTTAGCCACATGACTGTCAGTCCCATGACCGTCAGTCCCACGGCTCCTGTATCGGTCGTTAGTCTGGTACCTGTCGCTACCGGCAGAGCCGCTGCTTCGGTACCTGTCAGACGCTGTGTTATTCTGGTAGGCCAGGTTGCTAATCGCGGGATTGCCGCGAGCTACCTGGCTGTGAGATACCTGGCCGCGAGTTACCTGGCCCTTAGCCGGCGGGCTGGCGTCGTTCAGACGGCGAGAAGCCGGCGAACCACCCGAGGATAGAGTGCGCTCTACGCGGCCGTCGGGGTGTTGGACCACTCGCTCTGTTTCAGTGCGTGTCTGTCCGGTATGGTCTTTTGTCGTCCTCGTCGTCACCGTCACGCTCTCGCCGTTCGGACCGCGCTGCATCGTACTCGACGAACTACTGGCCATGGAGAAACCTCCGCCGAAAGCAGGACCTACAAAAACGGCAATATTGGAGGTAACGACCCCATGAAGGTGGCGGCGATTGACCCCATGAAGGTGGCGGCGATATTCGTGGTGGTTTGCCCGTAAAGGTGTAGTAGCTGTGTGACCACAAGTTCAGTGCCCTGTAAGTGCAGTGCCCGGGCGTGTGTCCTGCGTACCGGCACTGAAGCAGCGTTCGAAAGATCGGAACACGTCATCGTCCGCGTTGTCGAAAGCTCTTGCCTGAAAGCCTGAAAGGTGGTCCAGAGCTGAGCGCAAGCCACTAAACGGACTACCGAACGGACTGCCAAACGGATCACCAAAGGGGTCACCAAACCACCCTCTTCTGTTGTTGAATCTCGTACCTGTGCGTAGTAGACCGAGGCCTCCGAATCCGCCGAAGCCTGAGTTGCCGAAGCCGGAGTTGCCGCCGAAGCCGGAGCTTGCGGCGCCGTTAAAGAAAGGATCCTCCTCAAAGACTCTAAATGGGTCCGAAGTTCCAAAGACGTTTTCGAAAATGCGTCGGGCATGGTCAAAGGTAAAGCGCATGTCGTTGCCGAAGGCCTCGTCGCCTGCGAACGGGTCGGTAAAGAACACTCGTTGCGAGTGAGGGCCTCCAAATCCTCCAAATCCTCCAAATCCACCGGAGCCATGACGCCCTCCATTGTTAGATGATGTCGTGCGGGCACCGCCTTCTGGACCGTACAAGTCGTATCGACGACGCTTGTCTGGGTCTGATAGACAGTCGTAAGCTTCTGCAAGCTCTTTGAATTTCGTTTCCGCCTCTTCTCGGTTGTTCGGGTTCTTATCCGGGTGCCACTTCAGAGCAAGCTTCCTGTACGCCTTCCTGATCTCATCAGCGGGAGCATCCTTACTAACCCCCAAACGGGCGTAGAAATCTGCTGGTTCACTCATGTAAAAATTCTTAGTGCAATATTTATCTTTTACAGCACACGCGTGTGCTTGTCCACACGCGTGTGCTTCTTGCAAAACCAAGCACAACATGCTCTGGTACAAGGTACGCTGCTGGACAGATCCGGCTAACTCAGTCAACTAACGGCGACACTCCCGTTTTTAGTACCTTTTCTTCGCGCTGGTCGCACTCTCAGCTGACGACGCAAGCGACGGCCCTACTTCGGAACAGCTCGACGTGCTCCGAGCGCTGGGCGAGTATCTAACGCAACTCTACATACACTTGAGGGAGCTGGAAGAGTTCGAACATAGTCCTATCGACTAGATCCACGGAGTCAACCTCACAGGGGTCGACCCCTTTTGGGACGACTCTATACAGCACCTACCCGCCCCTTTTTCTTCGCCAGCCCTCAAGACAACCAATAGTGCCAGTCACAATACGCCAGTCACATAAGTTGAACGGAATTGAATGCTACTCCGCCCGTGACGGCGAAGAGTTGTTTATGGAGAGTCATTGAAAGAAAAGCAACTTGTTAACCCACAAGGTCTTGCCAATGAGTAGGGTCTCGGTCACGTTAGGCGGGTGGGGTATGCGGATTGGTTACCGTGCAATGAGGGGATTGAGGCAGACGAGGTAGTTGTGTATGATATCGCGGAGAACATCGGCGGAGGCGACGGTGGCTTTGACAGTAGCGGGGTCGGCGCCGAGGAAGATAGCGCTTTTTCCGAGTGCCACGCAGAGTGAGAGTGTGCGGTCGATAGCTTCGGCAAGTCGTTTGTATTTTTCAAGTGAGGCAGTGGCGGGTGCGGGTGCAGTGGCGGCGAGACGTGTGAGGGCCTCTTCTGCGTCTAGGGCCCAGGGTAGGGCCTGTAGTGCTTCATCGGGGCGTCGGTTCGATTCGAACCCGAGGTCACAGCTTTCACGACCCAGCACATGCGTCCAGACGTCGGGACGCACGGCCGCCGGCGTCGAAAATTGCTGAGCGACCGTGACGGCCTTCCGCACAATCGGCGACAGATACCGTGCCTCGGACGCCGTCAAGACGGTACCCATCCGCGACGGCGCCGCTCCCGCGGCCGAGCGCGCCGTCCGGGCCGTACTGGCTCCAATTCCGACTCCAGTTCCAAGACCGCCTCCGCGGGCCGTCACACCTCCCCCTGCTCCAGTTGTGAGTGCGGGGGAAAGTTCAGTCAAACCGGGGAGAGCAGCTTCCGCGGTCCAGAGGCCGAGACTCAGCAAATCTTTGACGGCGCTGCTGACCACGACTTCAAGTAAGTCAGTGCTCAGTTCGCTAGCACCGAACCCTACAGACAATGCTCGTGCCGCCTCAGCCGCCTGCGGCTGGTCTCGCAATCCCAGTCCCTTGCGATGACCCAATTCCGCAACCAACACCAGACCTAAGTTATATAGCCACACGCTCGCTGGCGTTACCACATTCAACGCCCGCGTAGGGTCACTCTGTACGGCCGGCGAATCAGGGTCAAATGACTCCGCCGAAGACGCATCCCGCGTCAATCCAACCATGTCCCAAACAAACACGCGAACGCAACTCTCGTACACAAACACGTCCACCGGTCGTGCCAACTCGTAGTGCTCTTCCCAATAGTCACCGAACCGGTTCAGCCGCGCCTTTCGCTCCTGCAACATACCCGACTTCACCTCCAACGCAGCCAGCGGGGTCGAGGTCGCGACGGGTCCAGAATCGTACTCTGTTCCTGCTCCGAATCCGGAACCACGTGGTTCGAATCCTGTCCCTGATCCGGGTGGTAATGCCTGTTGTTGGGCAGCGTCGAGATCTTCGGTGAGGCGGCTGGTCATCAGTTGCCAGAGCGTGGCGGGCAGGGCGGCCATGAGCGTCTCTTCGGAAGTGGTGGCGAGCGCAGCGAACGTGTTCCAGAAGCGGAGCGCCATGTCGGCCAGCAGGAGACAGTTACGTTGTCGTTTAGCAAGCACGAGTCGTTCGGCCAGAGTAAGGTTGACGGCGGCGAGCACCATGGCGAGGTCGGAGGACACATCACCCAGCGTATCAGGTACCAGCTTGAGAGGCAATCGGACTCGTTGGCGAGTCTCCTCCAACTGGGTCCAACAATGCAACAAGGTGGCCGTGGGAAGGGGCGCGACTCTCAAATTCGCCACGGCGAACTTGAGGACATGTTCCGCCAGTCCGAACGCGGTAGGGAAGTAGCGATGCCAACAGACCGCCGCAAGGCCAAGAGTATTTCGGAGCAATTCGTCACGCGCGTCGCCGATAGCGAGAAGTTGTTCAGCCGGTCGCGTACCCGCCATGCATTCGAGCACGGTTCGCACACGCCTTCGAGTCTCGCCGTCTATCATTAAGTAACATAAATATTCTGCCACGTCCATCAACAATTGCCCCTGTAACAATAAACGCACCTCCATGGCTCGGAATCGATCCTTATTTGCATCGCCGTGCCTTGCGCCCCCGACCTCTTTCGTCAAATATGTTGGCAATTTTAATGATTCTGCCATCCGCTCCAATCGGAACCCTTGCCGCAAGCCCTCCTCTCGCAGTCGCTCCGCCTCTTCCGACTCCAACAGTAATATGTTCCTCAACGCGCCTGGCTGTGGCGCTGGAGCCGATTCCAACGGACCCTGTTCTAACCCGAAGGACCCCGGTTCGAGCCCTCGCCGACTCCCCGAAGACACCCCCAGACTGGCGCCCGCACCGCCACTCAAACCCACTTCCGCCCGGGACGCACCTTGCTGCGTTCGGCTCGCACTCAGCAAGTCTCCGAATCCCAACGGTCCACTCGGCCCGAGGTTCCCGGAGGGGCCGAGGTTCCCGGAGGGGCCGAGGTTCCCGGAGGGGCCAAGGTTCCCGGAGGGGCCGAGGTTCCCGGAGGGGCCAAGGTTCCCGGAGGGGCCGAGGTTCCCGCCGTGGAGTCGTGTAGGACTGTTCGGTAAATGTCGCGGGCTGAGTGAGCTCCGACGTCGGTCGTTCCACATCAGCAGCCGACGGCCGTTGTCAAGACGGCTCCGGGTCGGGTCAAGCAGGGAGCTGGTTTGGGTCGAGCGCAGGCGCGCCGGCGCCAGGGTCTGGCTGCCGGGGAAGGCTGGCTGCGAGAGGCCGGGGGGTGGCTGGGAGGAGGCTAGACGGCCGGGTTCGGTCGTTCGGCCGTTGGATTCGATCACTCGACCGGGGGCATCATCCAAGTAGCGTCGATCGAGGCCGCCGGTACCGGCCTGAAGTCGGGCTGCTCGTAGCACAGCAGGTTGTGAAGCGGCAGTGAGGAGGGCGTTGCTAAGCATGCCACCTGAGACTTCCTGACTGATCATGGAATTACTAACGGGTGGCCGAAGGGTGCCTGAGTGTGTACTAAGCTCAGCCATTTTCTTGCCTTCCTGGCTTCGGTTCATTTCATCAAGTAGGACGCACTTATATACAGTTGCCAGTCGTGCGTCCAATGGGTAGTCACCTAGGTCTCGAACACGGTTCAATAACTCCACCGTCAACGCCCATGACTCGGGGTCCACACTGGTAAATTTCTCCCGGAACGCTCGCCGCATCTCACTCGCTAGACATGGATTCACAAGTCGACGACTGCAACTCAGCGAACTCGACAACGGCTCCAGCGTCAGCCACTCGCTCGTGTCCGATGTGCCGGGTCGTGTGCTGCCTGCCGATCCACTCGCGTGACTCTCTGACTGGCGACCCCCGGATTGGTGACCCCCGGATTGGTGACCCCCGGATTGGTTACCACCACCACCGCTCGCAGTTCGGCTGCCACCGAAGAGCGAAGCGCCGAGGGACTTAGCGACTGCGCCGAGTCCGGTAGTATTGGTTTCGCCTTCGGTGGCTCGAATCCGGGGGCCGGGCAATAGGGCTTTTTTGAGCAGCACGTTAGGGAGCAGTGGGAGCTCGAGCCACGCAGGCTGCGATTCGAGACCAGTGACGAGTTGGGCGAGTGCTTGAGAGTAGTTGCGTTGAGAGATGTAGAGTTCGCAGATGGTACTGCCAGCGGCGCCGCCGCCATGTCGTCGTGCCAGCCATGAGTCGATGTATGGCGAGCGTAGACACACTTCCATAAGTTCGCTATCGTGTGTGTGATTTACGACCCACTCGAACACACTATGTGCGATTGGTGCAGCGTATGAATGTAACCCCGCCGTGAACGAGTCCAGCGTCGAAGCCGCATCCAATCGCGTCGGGATAGCAGCACACGCGAGTTGATTCACTAGTGCAGTGAGCAGATCCCAACCCAACATCTTGTCTGTGTGCACAGCGATGGTGTGTAACCTCGCAAGACATTCGCCCACGGCCGCTGCGACCTTGGCGGGTAGTTCGACCGAACTTAGCTGGTCGCTGGTAGCCACAGTCATCGCACTCAAAGAAGGAGGATGTGACGATCGCCAGAGTGTGTAGCGATGACATAGATCTATCCAAAGCGCCACCGTCAAATGGAAGAAGTCGAAGGAATGCATGCGGAATAGAATGTTCAGCAATTCCTTCAACATCTCATCCTTCTTATTCTCACTCCGATCCCGACTCAATTGCACACACGTGTTCAAAGCATTGATACCATGAGTCCTAGCCTCCTTTCTCACGGGGTCATCATCACCGGCCCCAAGATCAAAGAATAGATCCGCGCGTATGAATTTGGGCAAGGTAAGACACACATTTAAATCCGCTGGATTTAATTCACGCTCCCACACACTGTACAAGTACTCAAACGTCCCGATATCCCCAGTGTTGGCACCAGCCATTCGGCCGGGACTTAGCAGAGGACTTTCACCATCGGGAGCGACAAAAGTGCGACTCGTGAAGCTGTTTGTGAGACTCTGTAATTTGCGCCGCTCCGCATGGGCGGAATCAATACAATCTGCAAGACATTGTAATGGTTCTATGGCTGCACTCCATTTGAGACTGGAAAGCTCGAACAGTTTCGGACAGGTTTGGGCCATGCTCGAGGGCGACAGGATTTTGCTCAAACTACCTTCCTGGAACCATTGCCCGAGCACGTTATTTTCTCCGTCGTACAATACGCTAGCTAACATAGATCCGAAATTCTGTTGTGCTAAAGCCTCAATTATATCCACCCGCACATTTGGCAAGCCGCCTATATGCTGCCCATCAGCGCGTGGTCCAAAGGGCAATCGACCCGTTGTCATTGAATTCAGGTCATCCAGACTCTCGCTAAGCAATTCGAAAAAGCCGCAGAGCTGTTCGACCACACCCAGGAACTCTTTCAATTCCGCAAACTGTGGCGCGTCTTCCAATGTTTTATGCCGCACATCCAACGAGACCTGGCTCTTCAGAAAGACCTCGTATGTTCCAATCGCATTCCATAGCACGCTACAAGCCGCCACGCCCTGGCGGAAGTCTTCCCGCGATAACCGCAACTTTAGACTGACCCGATTATTGGCCTTGGGCTCGTTGTCAGGGTGGATACGCTTCCGGCTCTGATGGTTTGCCGCGGCGCTACCGCCGGCAAAGGGATTCGAACCGGGGGAGCTGGGGTTATGAGCCAAGTCCAACGGATCGAACGTTAAGACTCCAACCTCCGTACCCACACTCATTTGAAACAGTGGTCGCCGACTGAAGTCGATCAGCAGTTGCAGCACCAATCGCTTAAGTCCCTGGCAGCTTTCCGAGTCGCCACTGCCGCCTTCGCGTAATCGTGCGAGGGTGGAGAGCGAAAATAATAAACGACAACACGTGTCCAGTAACTCGCGGCCATTAGCATCTGGGCTGCGGCCAGGTTCCTGGGCCCCGTGGCCGACTCCAGCCTGTCCAGCACCCTGGCCGTGGAGGGCTAGGTAGTGCCAGGTCATGTCGATAGTGTGTTTTAGGTGTGTGTTTGCCAATAGCCAACTCGTCTCGGCACAATTGACACTGCGACCTAGTCCAGAACTCAGCCAGGCGACACTGGCAGGCAGCGAAGCGAGCTCCGCCCAGGCATGGAGTCCGGTCATGGCGGTGGTCGCGCCGCGTTCGAGAGCAGCAACTAACTGGGCTGCGTCATTGACTTGCAATCCGTGGGGAGCAAAGGGTACAGCGAAAGTTAGGTCCTTGAAGATAGCGTCCGTCAGACTCTTAAGCGCCGGCAACTGGGAGCCCAGATCTTCGGCCAGTGTATTTTTCCGACAACCCAGGAACCCCTCACGTGTCAGCGCCAACACGCTTACTGGAGGCAAAAGCAACGATAACGCCGGACACCCCTTCTCCCCGAAGGAAGCAACGCAACCCAACAATGCGTTCCGCTTATGCAACGCAGCACTCACACCCGACAACTCCAACCGCCTTCGGAGACTCCACACCATTTGTACACGTCCTGTAGAAACTAGTCCGCGGTGTCGCCGAATCGCTTCCGACGCAATCCCAGACGCAATCCCCGTCGACTCCCGCAACCGCTGCCAACGCGTACCCGATACGAACGCCAGGTATCCTACTGTCCGCGACGCACCACCTGTGACTCCTGTTCCAACCCCCTGGACGGCGGTTCGAGTCCCTATCCCGTCTGTTCCTGTTCCAACGACTCCAATTCCAACTGCAGCGCCAGTCCTAGCGCCAGTGCTACCGTCTGTTCTAGCACCAGTCCTAGCGCCACTGACTCCCGCGTCCTGGAAACCTGGTTCACCTTCGGGAGACGGTACCGCCGCCACACTCCCATCCACGCCGTCCGGTTCAGTATCGCGTCCGGCACGGCTGACGAACACGAGCCAAGCGTCCCGCGCCGGCAGGTGGCCCAGGATGTAGAGTGGCTCGGTTGGTCGGGTGCCATCTGATTCTCGGAAAGGCGAGAAACGAAGGAGGCTGGGCGGGGGCCAGATGACGCGGGAGACGAGGAGCGGCTGGCACTCCTGGACAGGGACGTTGTGTTGTTGTACGAGACCCCAGATGGTGTTATCCACGCGCATGCGTAGTGCGTCATGCAACGTCTTTCCGGCTTCGTGTGTTCGCCCATTCCAACGCAGACTTCGACCGGCCTGAGCGGGCGCACACTCTACCCGCGTGCCATCGGTCAATAAGAGACACGCCACACCGTCGCTGCTCGTAGACAGACTCGCCACACTCAGTTCCTGTTTCAACTTTACGCTGAACGACGAAGCCGACTGCACTAATCGCGACTTTAACGAAGCGACCACCGAAGCCACGCCTCCCGGTGGCTGCGACTGCACGAAGCCTTCGACGCCCGCCGGCACCGACGGCCGCTCACCAACCGGGCGGTCGACTACGCCCACCCCCGTCCGACTCTCGCTCCCGTAACGGCCATCCGTTCCGTAACGGCCATCCGTTCCGTAACGGCTATCCGTTCCGTAACGGCTATCCGTTCCGTAACGGCTATCCGTCCCGTAACGGCTATCCGTTCCATACCTCTGAATGCTGTAGCGGCCCAAAGAGTCTTCGATACCCTTAACCAGCACCTCCCAGGTGAGCATCGGTTCCGAGTGCGCGATGGTTGGCTGTTCGCAAAGCTTAAAGATCTCCGCCGTCACTTGCTGCGTCACCGGCGGGTTTAAGCTTAAACCGTACACGGAGCCCGCACTGGTGAGCACATAGACGCGGTGAGCGGAGCCGTCGATCTGCACCGGCACTGGCGCCGCGGCGAGGACGAGCTTGGCAGAGAGCGGCGCCGTGCTCAGCAGTTTACGACACACACCGTGTGCCACTATGTTATTCCGATACCCGCTGCTGCCCCAAAACGGGATCTTGAAGCGCGTGCCTTGTCGCTCCAACGGCGAAGTCGTGAAGACACTCTCCTGAAGACCCACGTACAGCTCCCGGACAAAGTTGGGTACGTACTCCCAAACATTCCCCGACGAGTCGCCCAGTATCGTACGCTCGCTATAACTATGCGTGAACATGCATGTCACGCGGTCACCTTCGAACGACACACGACTCTCCGGGATCGGCGCGTATGCCAACAAGCCCCGCTGTTCTGTACCCGCCAGTAGGTACTGTTGGATGCTCGAACTCGTCAATACTACCATAGACTTGAACACGACCTCCGCCGACAATCGTCCTCCCGGGGCCGCCCCCATCGAGGTCGCCCCCGGCGCTCCTCCCGTTACATGGCCTTCATCGAGCCCCAGCAGCGGGCCCATTCGGTCGTGACCCCCCAATCGGTCGTGACCCAATCGGTCGTGACCCATTCGGTCCTGACCCATTCGGTCCTGACCCATTCGGTCCTGCGTGCCGTCGACTGGACTAGTCCAGGCCGGCCCGGACTGGTCGAGTACCCGGTTGCGCTGCGAGTAACCCACTGGCGGCCGTTTGTGCAGCTGCTCAAGTGACAGCACCCGCAGTGGTGCCCCCTTCTTCCGTCGTGTGGGAAATGGCGCGGTCTCTGCTTCTTCCCGCGACTCGGTCACTGGTGCACGACTATCCCGTCGACGCTCATCGACCACCTTGGCAGGCGTCGTGGCGGCCTGTCCACTCCGACGACTGGCTTCTTCTGTGGTGAACATTGGGTCACTTGTCATAAGCTCTCGTAACACCGTGAACTCCAGTTCATACAACCGATCCAAATAAAACTGTAACTCAGGGACCACGGCCGCTAAAGTCCGGTCGTACTTCACCTCGCTAAATGTCACGCCTCGAACCGGAGACGACCCTGTCTCGATTTCTACTACGAGGCGATCCTCATCAGACAATTCCTGTTGGAAATCATCATGGTAATCCCCGGGGAAACAACGGCCGCCCTCACGGCCGCCCTCACGGCCACCCTCACGGCCGCCCTCACGGCCACCGTTTGGGGTACCACCGCCGTCTAGAAAGCCTTCAGGGGAACTTTCGGCCAATCCACGGCGGGCATTATCCCGGACGTGGTGCCGGAGATGGTCTCTGGCATGATCCCGGACAGAGCCGGGGGACGTGGTCTTCCAGAAGCAAAAGTTTACCGAACACTTGTGTGCCCACCATAGGGAATAGTAGTCGGCCAGAGCCCCGCATCTTAGTCGCGTCTTATTGAATTGAACCAGGTATTCCTGGGGACTTCCGCTCGCCGCTAGGGCGCCATCTACCGCCGCTTCTAACTCTTTCGGGATCCGGGGCGCCAAAAGCGTCAAGGTTGCGTCGTACTGCACGTCTGCTGCCACGCCCTCCTCTTCCTCTGCGTGCGGCAATACCACGTCACTCAATATGTTCTGAGGGTCGCCCGTAGCGACCACTTGGGCACCCGGCTGATGGCGCAAACTACGACTGTGAGTCAGCCATCTCGGTCCTCCCATATTTTTAATCCCCTCCTCCCCACACCAAAGAACTCTTTCATCACGCAAACTGACCATCACGCAGACTGACCATCACGCAGACTGACCATCACGCGGACAAACATCTCGTTCTCGGCTGGCTGGTTCACTGCCGGAAGTGAATGAACAAGCTTCTGCGGTACACACCCAATGTGTTCCGCAAATGTGCTCCCCAAACCCGCTTTTGCCACTGCGCTACAGTTAACTACAGCTAACTGTAGAGACCGGAAGAGAGAGGAAGGAGTCCTTTCCCCAGAAAAAGACCGGTCTTACATGACACACGCATCAAAAGAACCGCTAAGAAAAAAACAAAATGATCGAGATGGCACACCCAAACACAGAGGTCCAACTGAGCACCATGTCCAGCGGATCAGGGATGGGCAATTTAGGGCCAAACGAATAAAATGGAGTCTAGCATCTGCACAATCCTTTTTTGTCTTCGTCGTCGAGTGGGTTCGCATTTAGTTGGATGTCGACTGAGGTGTTATGAGAAGCTACCGTGTCCACCCCGGGTAGGGCCACGGCGATCTCATTGAACAGCGTCCTAATATTATGTCCAGTCTTAGCAGACGTCTCATAAAATACCACTCCCAGCTACGAAAGACATGTTTTTGCATACAAAGAGAAACACGCGGCGGGATAACCAGGATGTATATTAGGAGCGGGGTGGGGGG